TTTTTCTTCCAAATCAGCGACTCTGAGAGCAAGAAGACGATGCTGTGAAACACTGGCAACAATGGGACTTGGCTCAAAAAGGGAAAAATTGCAAAACGCAGTCACTCCACTAGGTTGTTCACTCGAAGACGCACAAGCAAGTTCCAAATTCGCAGTATCAACTGTTTCGTTGACTACACTATTTTCACTTAAGTCAAAGGGATCTAAATTAAAATTGTCGATATATTCCCAATAATCAATTTCGTCAATATCCTCACTCATTTTAATTGCCACTTCAAAAAAAAAAAAAGAGAGGAAAAGAAAGCCTAAATATATATATATGTGTTACGGGCAATGTGCGGGAGGCGGGCAATGTCCGAGAATGCCCGGGCATTGTCGACAATGCCCAAAATCAGTGGGCATTGTCGACATTGCCCTGTTTTTTTCGGTCAATGTCGAAAATTATTTATAAAATTCTGTTTTCTGGGCAATGTCGACAATGCCCAGTCCATTTTGGGCAATGTTGAAATGCATAAAATTTTTTAATAAAAAATAATTTGTAATATAAGTAAATATTTCATCACTTGTTAAAACTGAATAATTGAATAATATAATCAATTTAACGCTGTTTACTAAATTTATTTTTATTTGTGCAGTCAATTCAATGGATTTATTTGCAATCATTTTGTGTGCCCCAAAAGGAGGACTTTTCGTCATTTTACGATATCAAACATAAGTATAGACTTCATTGTGATACTCGGCTGTAATTCTTAATTTTTAATATTTAATGTACTAAAATAATGTTTTATAATTGTAAAAAAAAAAGTTTTAATAAATTTTGTACTTAATTATCAATTAATTTTATTATTTCTACAAAAATATTAATTAAGGTGAGAAAAATTTATTTGATCAACGCTTTGTTAGTACAACAAATTATTTTGCTGTCAAAAAAACGGACAGACAATTGTGCTTACATGTCTTGTGAGGAATATGAAAGTTACATTAAAAAAGTGGACCAATTAAAGTTATGCGAAAAAAAGGATTCGAGGAGTTACAGATTTTTAAAAAAATACGACACAATTTCCGTGAACGGAAACAAGAAATTAATTAGACCTATTAACAGTGACAGTGAAAATAAATATTTCGGGCATTATTTTCTAATAACATGTTACTTATTTATAATAAACAACATTGCCCAAAAATTAGTGGGCAATGTCGAAAATGCCCGGGCATTGTCAACAATGACCGGGCATTGTTAACCTTTTGTAAACGTTTTTAAAAATAAGTGGGCAATGTCGACAATGCCCACTGATTTTGGGCATTGTCGACAATGACCGGGCATTCTCGGACATTGCCCGCCTCCCGCACATTGCCCGTAACATATGTATATATATAATGTGAATACGAATGTAATCACTGGGGAAGTTCATGACAAACTGAGTACTTACCGGAAGAATCATCGCTAATAGAGATGACAGATTCAGGAACATTATAGAGAATTGTTGAAACATCACTAACTGAACTGTTTCCACTCATGGTTGTAGAAAAACTGATCCTAAAAGGCTTTAGGACAATGCATGTGGATCCTGAGATCATCATGCAAAAATTTGATGAAAACAGCATTTTGAGTGTTTAAAGGAAACACATCTATGCAGCTGGACAAATCGTGACATTATTATAATAACAACTTACCTCATTGGCACATATCCTTATCTTCAACATCACTCACAGATTGGTAAAGCACATCTGCACTCTACAAACTCTCCTGTCAGCAAATTTCTGTTTTAATTTTTGAAAATTATATTACTTCACAAGGCAATGTAATATTAGAAAATTCAAGTAACAAATATTTTATTTCAAAGTCCATCGAGGACGATGCACAATCTAAGGGGGGAGGACTGTTACATCCCGACATATATAATTTTCCATCTTAATTATAAATCTACTGTTACATGAATTTTCTAATAGCCCCTTTTCGTAGGCAATACCGATTGCATTTAAGATCCACGTATATTAAGTAGTTAATTATTTGAATGAAAGGTGTATACATATATATATGAGTATATATGAATGTACACTTATAAAATATAACATTCATATACCTAATTATTTAAATATTTTAAATTATCAACTGGTTCTTTTAACGAAATGTTACCATCTCATTCATTATCTTGAGAGATGATAAATAATCGACATAACTATTATCATAGTGAAGTCGGTATGACAGATAATAAAGTAAAAGAATTCATAATGAAATAATGATGCATCTTAAAGAACACGTGTGCAATGCATATGTATGACCACATATACATATAGAACTAAAATATATGCATGTAATTATTCTTAAAAACAAACAGAAACACTGAATAAATGCATAAATTGCTTAAATAATTATGGATTAACAATCTAATATCAATGATCAATGTCGATATCAAATAGACTGAATGTCGCTCAATTAATATGAAATAAAAGACACATATGATTCCTAGAAAATTCGTACGTGCTCTTAAACGTTTTAGCTAAAAACGTGCTCTTAAACGTTTTAGCAAAAATCGTGCTCTTTTTCTAAATCATCCCCAACAAAGTAATGAATTGACTAGTATATAAACCCATTGCAAATTAAGAGAAGATGTCAAAAGTTCCGGTGTAATCTCCGTGGTTAATATCATTGTTGAGCGACCCTTCAGTTTATTTCGTGAAAGTTAATCTATTATTTCCTGTAACAAGGTGCAAGTTTTTGTGTTTCACTTAGAACGAATTCTTTCCTGAAAAGGTGCAAGAGAAGCAATATTAATATTTAGAACATAGTTCTTTCCTGAAAAGGTGCAAATTAAATTGTTTTTCATTTAGAATAGTTTCTTTCTTGAAAAGGTGCAAGAAACTACAATTTAACATTTAGAATAGATAAATTCATTGATTTAACTGTCGTAATCTTACAATAAAATAAAGCAGATTCTTGACTATAATTCAAAAATTGCTTCTCTTTCACATTCAGAATAGACTTCCTTCTTATGCAGGTGTAAGTGACGTAATACAACGAATTGTAACACGAAATAGTATGCTTTATTATCAAAAACATTAAAGTTGTGTCACACAAGTGTGAACCGACAAGCTGTATCTTCATTCACTTAAAACAAATTCCGAGCTCTTGTATAACAACTCAGCGACTTCATTGAAATACGAATCTTCCTCGTAAAAGTGAGTAATCATATATGTAACCTATTTTATTAAATCATAATTATAATAAACTATTATAAAAGGGAATATTTGTCTTTTATTAACGCAAGACCCATAGTCTTTACGAAGTGACAACGATCCTACAAAATAAAAATATCAGGTTTTACCATCCTGATTAATCAGCACAACCCTCCCAAGTAAATAAATTAATTATTTGTTTAAAAACCAAGCCTTAGCTCGGGATGTAACAACGTCATCGCGGCTTGACTGTTGAATTGGAGAAAACTGGCATCAATTCCTTTACTCTTCAGAGAAGGCCGGAAATGAAGATACCGGATGATTTTGTTAAACCAGAAGGTCATGGTAATCTGAAAAACGCTAATTTCGCTTCTCTGGAAATCTCTATAGAGGAGACTTGTCACGAAATCCCAGAAAAACCGACGTGTGATGATGAAGAGAAAATGCTAAAGAAAATTTTGAGTACTTTGGAGAAGATAAACGAGTTGATTATGGAGATTAATAGTCAAAATTCTGAAGAGGAGTCTGATTCGGATTCAGGGTCAAGCAAAAGCTTGGTAACCAGCAGTGATGATGGTATCGTTGAACCTATGCAAGTATCTGAGGGGAACAAAGAGGAGGGGCGCGAACTAAGCAGTGAGGAAGCCATCATTGCTGTAGCTCGAGATATCGAGGAGCGTGAACGCAAAGAGGTGGAGAACGGGGAAGGCATCGATGCTGCTATTCAGAATGTGGAGCCAGGCAAAGAAGTAGAGAATGCAGATGAACAAATGATAATCGATATTGAAAGTGTTGATGAAAGTGATAAAAAAATTAAAAACTTAAAAAGTTTTTTATATTGTTTTTTTTATAAATTTTCATCTTATACATGAATAATATTTCTAGTAGTATTGAAGTAGTGATGTAAAATACATTTAAAAAAAATAAATAAACTGTTTAGACGGAAAAAATTTCATTACCCTTTATTGTATAAAAGTTAATTAATTAAAATTTTTGCTTTTAAATTAAAAGAATAATTATAAAATTTAGAATTAAATTTTTTAAAATTTAAATTAAAAATTTACATGTTTTATTAACCAATTTAAATTTTTTTTAGTTTTAACATTTTAAACAATAAATTTAATTTAATAGTTTATTAATTAATTATATAAATTTAAAAAATATTTTTCAAAAACAATTTGTTTATTAAATAAAGTTTAGTTTTAACTTTTTTAAAAAAACTATTTTTTTAAAAAATTTATTTTTTTTAATTAATAATTTTTTTAATTATATACATTAATTGAATATAAACATAAAAAAAAAATATTTGAAACTATTTTTTTTATAAAATTCAAAAATAAATTTAAACAAATATTTATTTTTGCATTTTTAATAAACATTTTATTTTATTGCATTTTAAACATTTTATAATTAATTATAATAACAAAATTAATTATTATTTTATGATTATATTTATTTTATAACTAGAACTATACACGGAGAAAAAAGTGTACCAAAAATAAAGGTATACTCTTTGGTTGGATACTAATACACTGTGGCAGACGATGGTTTCATAACTCACACCAAGAAGACTATGCTCACATGGTAGTGTGAGTGCCATCGTTGTAAATACGGCACTCACTCACTGCTTATACGCGGATACCTAGTTCTCACCGTATACTATACATAACTAACCTACACCAAATTCTTTACAAGGCTGAGTTATACAGAACGTTAATCTGCTGATTAAATTCTTTTTTGCTCACTTTGTTCTTTAATCAGGCACTACTGAGAATTGCAAATAAAAATGTGTTTTATAAAATTGTAATTTTTTTCTTTTTTAAAACTTAAACAATTTTTCTTACAATACCACTTAGTGGTTTATATTCAACGATGCGATCATGCAAAATCAAACAATATGCTGAAGTGTTGGCCTCAAAATTTCCTCTAGATTCAAATTCCAAACGGATATCAACTGGTCCACTTTTCAGTGCCTCATTTTGTTTGGAACAATCAATTACAATTAAAGGAGCATATGCCAAAAATTCTTTTTTCGTTAAAAGCGGCTGAGATTCCTTACCATAATAAATAGATTGAAAATTAACATACATTTCATACAAAGTAGAATATTGATTTCTATCAATATTAAGATTCATATTACCATATGGATAGCTTTGCGAATTTAAAAATAATTTTACTTCAGATATATTACAATGATCAAAATGACTTGAATTTCTAGTAGTATTGTTTTTTCTTCCTGTTTGAAATCCTAATACAATAAATCTAGGCTTTTCCAATTGCGTTGACGTTTTTACATTCCAAATATGCTTTTGAGTTAAGGGTAATAAAGGATATTCATATAATTCCCAAGTTCGGAAACTAATTGGAATCGATGGATCCTTTTCTATATACTTTAACAATTTAAATTTTCGAGCGTCTGACAATTTTATATACGGTAATAACCATTCGACTTTTTCAATTACTATTCTAAACTCTTCAAGGGGGACAATTTGGAGAACAGCATTTAAATCTGTCCTCGATCTTGTGAAAATGAGCTCATGTTTTGCGTTTACAATTACTTTTTGATAATCCTCTGAAAAACCAAAAATCATATTTAACGGTATGCAAACATCAAAATAACCCTGCTCATTAGTAAATATTGCATCATCGATAAATTCCAACCAACCAACATTTTCGAGAAATTTACTTTGAGTAACATCAAAAGAAACATAATTTTTCATTAAACTTGTAAGAGCTACATTTTTATTTTTATCAATTTCAACACCGTTAAGCTCATATTTTGCTTCTTTGAATAAATGACAAACGCCATTAGAAACTAGATTGGTGCGTGCTAGAGGAGCTCCGTTGGCATCTACAAGTCTTCCACTGATATGAATTGAACTTTTACTCGGAAGTAGACAGTGGTCTTGATTTTGTACAGTGATTCGAATTTCATCACTGTTATTATAGGTTGATGAAGTATACGGCTGCTGCGCATGCACTTCATAATGCGCAATAGCCTCGTCAAAAACAATTGGTTGTTCAATATTTAACAGTTCCTCGTCCATGACAAAAAATAATAATACTTCGATACACAAATACACAAACACAAGTGCAAAACAATTTAAATCTTTTTAGCCTCCTTTTTTTACAATTTTTAGGCCTAGATTTTTCAGGAGCTGCAGATTTTGAGGTGTTAATCTCTTCACAATTTTTCGTCGACTGAACTGTTTTTGACATGTCGGTTTAGTTTTATAACCGTAACCAATCTTGTTTTTATTATTAAAAACAATACCCATTATCCTTGAGACTTGATGTGTAATCTGATAGTTATAGTTTCTCCTCGAAAATTGACTATATTTCCGTCTTGATCAACAATTCGCACTTGAATATAATCTATTGTCTTGACGGAGACTGGCAGATAAATGACGTTATTTGAGACCTCCACTATTTTATATCCTGGTGGTACAACAGAAAAAAATTCATGAATTGTGTGTACTTTTTTACCATTAATGTATGCCCCTGTAGTTATGTTACACTCTACTCTTAATGCATTTATTCTAGTAATTGACACTGGTTGATCAGATTCATGGTATTGTTGAGATTTTAATTTTCGTGGAGAAAATCCTAGCAAACTTCCAATAGAGTCTACAGGTTCAAAATCAATTTCTTGATCGCAATAAATTGTACATTTTAAAGTATTATTATTAGGTTTAATTTTGAAATTAATCCCTTTGTTTTTTAAAATAAAATGCAAAACTTGGTCAATATCATTAATTTCGTAACTTCCTGTTGGTATAATAATTTCTTCATTTCCCACGTAAAATTTATTTTTTCCTACATCCACATTGGGAATAGAATGAAACGATAAAAATTCAACAAGACCAAGAGTATAATTTTTAAAAGGAGACAACTCGATTGGTGGAAAGTATTGAGACTCTAACATGGAAGAATTTCCAGACAGCGTTAAAATAATCGACTCGTTCATGGTAGTTTCAAATAATTAACTGACTCTTAAAATATAAATATCATTTATTTATATGAACAGAATACACGTCTGATATGTGCAATTGATTACATAAAAATTTTAGACATAAATGTCCACAGACAAACGTGTCAAAATTTTGATAATTTTTATAATTATACATTACGTAATCTACATCAAAATAACGAATAAGGTCTAAAGGTAGTCTAAGATTACCAAAACTATCGAAATAAATAATTTTATTTTTATTTTTTTTATAGGCGCACCAGTGTGTTCCTGGGCCATCTTTGTCATCTAAATTTATTATTCCCGATTCATTCCTTCTAGGACCAGTTAATGGCAGTTCATTGCGCATAAACACTCCTCGAAAATGCGGAATTTTCAATTGTTTTGCAAACTTAAATATATCTACATCAGTTAAAGCACGGTGAGGAAGCTTTATTTTAAGTTTTTTCGAGCTTTTTTTTTAGTCCTCGCCCTTGAGTGTATGGTTTTAAATGAAGTCCTACTCCTTCCTTGTAAGGTTTTAAATAAAGTCCTTTGCCCAGAGCAATTGCTTCCATTGACTCATTATGACGTTTCTTTTCTTCAAGTTGACATTTGCCGCGCTTGCGTCATTCACTGCTTTTGCGATACCAGCAGCCCCTCCTGCAAGTGCACCTGTAGCACTTAGGCCCGCGAAAAGGGGAATAAGAAACGGTAAAACTCCCCCCACTTTACTTGAAACGGGTAGAACGCGTGGCTTCTTCACTTTTCCCTTACCACCAGCTTTTTTTACAGCTACGCGTGCGCCAAGTAGAGCAGATTTAATTACAGCATTTATATTATTTTCATTTGAATGCATATTTTTTTTAGCTGCCGATACAATATTTTTTAAAGTAGTAGATGGTCTTTTTTTACTTTTATTTAGACCCATACCTAATTTAGACTTTACTTTCATAGTGTTTGCTATTGCGTAAGCAGCAAGTTTTTCGCCGGCACCAGCGTCTGATGCGAGAACACGATTCCAAGCTTTTTCAGCGAGTACTTTATCAGCTTCGTTTCTAGCTTCGATATTTTCTCTATTTTTAGAATAAGCAATATCGTGTTCTTTACACGCAGAGTCTAGAGGATTAATTCCTTGGTCTCCACGGGCAAGTCTTTTAGCTAATTTTGTTCCTGGACCACAATATTGATACCCAGGAATATGTAACTCTACTGGTAAATTATTTATAAATTTGTTAATAAAACCTCTTCCACGTCTTAACCCTTTCACAATTCGCTTGCAACTGACTTGTTTCTTATCTGAATGCACAATCATATTCTTAAGACAGTTAAAAGTAGACTAATTAAATTTTCTATATAAGTGACATATTTATAGATTTTTATTTAGTTTGAATTAACATGGAGTTTGAAACACAACCTGTAAAATTACCGGTCATTAATTTTGATACGGTTATACAAAAAAGTGACGAAAAAAACCGTCATGGTAATTTATTACCAAGTAGTGTGCGAGCAATATTTTGCGGTCCTTCTAATTGTGGAAAAACAAATGCTTTACTTGCACTTTTAATTCATCCAAATGGACTAAGATTTGAAAATCTTTATGTTTTTTCAAAATCTTTAAATCAACCAAAATATAAATTTTTAGAAAATGTTTTACAACCAATAGATGGCGTTGAATATTTTCCATTTAATGAGCATGCAAATGTTGTGGATCCCAATAAAGCACGACCTAACTCAATATTTATATTCGATGATGTCGCGTGTGAAAAGCAGGATAACATTAAAGCGTACTTTGCTATGGGTCGACACAAGGCGGTTGACTGTTTTTACTTGTGCCAGACGTATGCTCGCATTCCAAAGCATTTGATTCGAGATAATGTAAATCTATTAGTCTTATTTAGGCAAGATGAAATGAACCTTAGACATATATATGATGATCATGTAAATACGGATATGCCATTTACGAAATTTAAAGAAATTTGTAATTCCTGTTGGAAAAATAATCATGATTTTTTAGTAATTGATAAAGACTGTGAAATTAATCACGGTAGATATAGAAAGTGTTTTGATTGTTTTATAAAATTAGAGGACTAATATAATTAAATGGCAGTATCTTTTTATACTTTGAAAGAACAACATGCCTTCTTCACAGTTAAAAAATTTGCAAAAACAAAAAAATATTCTGGGTGAAATTGCTAAAGCAAGTGAAGCAATTCGACGAAAACATCGATTAATAAAGTTAGGCAAAGAAGAAATTGAACAATCTTTAAATACTACTTTTAAACCAATAGTCACTCCAATTCAAAAATTAGCTGAAGAATTTCAAATCGTTAAACATATTCATCCACAGAAAATAGAAATTAAAAATGAACAAGATATTAAACAAGAGGATATTATGGATCCTGGTTTTAATAATTTTTACGCAAGTTCGCAATTAAAAAATGAGCAAGATGATGAAATGTCATTCAAAACTGCATCTTTAGATGACAGTATTGCACAAGATGATTTAATAACGCTAAATTCATCAACAAATATGGAGGCAAATATGATGAATGATTATTTACAATTATTGGATAAAAAGAAAAAGGATCTGTACAATATATATGGGGTCCGAAAATTAGCCAAAGGAAGGCTAATGATTGGTGATTCACCAATACATTTTGAAGAAAATAAAATCATTATAAACAATTCAGTTTATCATGCAACAAAGGGTTTACTAGAACTTTTATTTAAAAAAACACCCCAAGAAAATTTTATAAGCTTTGACGATCCTGAAAATTATGGAAATATCATTATTTCAACTAATGCTCACAAAAAGTATTATAAATCAGATGAAAATATTCGTGAAAATAAAAGTTTAAAATTTCAAAATTTTATTGCAAAAAAAATTTTATCTCCAAAATCTGAAAAAAAGAGACAAGGAAAAGGTATAATACCACAGTATATGATCAATCAAGAAAATACAAATATTGATTATATTTATTGGGATGATCCAAACGAATTAGTAGAACGTTTACGATTACTTTTAGCGTCTCAAGCCGCTGGAAACCCCAGCCATAATAATGAAATTATTTCTATAATTGAAGAATTACGTGAAGCAAATATTATTTATTAACCAAGTTTTATAAATTTCAACTTTATTTGCAACATGAGTATCGACATATTCGGACGTCAGTTAAAGAGCGCGGGGACCTCAAATCGCGGGCCTCCGGGACTCGGTTTTAAATTTACATCTGATGGACATTTTAATATGGAAAATAAAAAATTATGCAATATTGCCAATGCTGAAAGCGAAAATGATGCAGTAAATTTAAAGCTTGTTAAAAAAATTATTGAAACTACGGCAAACGCCATCTATGATGTGATAGAAGTATTAAAAACCGATTACAATATTAGAATTTCTACATTGGAGGATACTGCCACAAGATTTTTTGAAAACCTTAAATCGCATATTGAAAGAAATATAGAGTTATTGTCTATGAAAGAGACCATTTCTCGACTGGATAGCAGACTGAAAGCACTTGAAGACAATCAACCTTTGTGAAAATAGAAAATAAAGAACTTCAGGTGGTGAAAGAGTTACACAAACCAGCTAGAAGAAATTATAAACGAAGAAATGTTGACATTCGAGGTATTGACGAGACTTGGCAAGCTGATCTCGTTGAAATGCAACGCTATGCGCGAGAAAATAAAGGCTACAAGTACTTGTTAACCGTCATCGATGTATTTTCCAAGTTTGCCTGGGCTGTTCCCGTCAAGTCCAAAAAGGGGGAAGATGTAACTTCAGCAATGAAATCCGTTTTGACCAAAGGACGCGTACCAAAAAATTTACAAGTGGATAATGGAAAAGAATTTTATAATTCTCATTTTAAAAATCTTATGTCATTTTATAAAATTAATATGTATTCTACTTTTAGTGATTTAAAAGCATCAATTTGTGAACGTTTTAATCGTACTGTAAAAAATAAAAAGTGGATGAAATTTAGTTTACATGGCAATTTTAAGTGGATCGACATTTTAAGTGACTTAATAAATTTATATAATAATACTAAACATCGAACTATTAAAATGAAACCAAAAGATGTAAATAATCAAAAT